ATCCTCAACTCTTGTCCTCTTTTAATCGCAATATTTTTGTCGCTGAAATTATTTAAAAAACTTGTTGTTCTAAAGCACTTAAAAGAAAATAGTAATAATGAAATAAGTGTGAATATTATGAGAATCCAACTAACATGTTAGGTAATTTTCATTCAACTTATATTTAAAGCAATTAGATTATGCATTTCGCTTAATTATGATTTCAATTTTCATTAGGTCAGACGTTAATTTATTTATTTTTTATTTTTTAACAATATTGTGATATTATCACCAGGATTATCGGAAATATATAGAAAGCTCAGAGGATATATGATTTCTTTCAGAATAAGTCTAACAGATGATTAATTTGCTAAGAGCATTGGGTTGGGATCAATAATAAGCAGATAGGTCCCTTTGTGGTTTAAGTCATTGCCTCATTGGAGGGCTATATGCCCAATTTATACAGGCCCAGCTATAGAATTCTAAGAAGAGGCACTACTCTAAGAATTAATCTCATAATAATACATGTGGAAATATCATGACCAAAGTCTAAAAATTACATATTAAGTTTTAATTGAACTAACGCAGTAAATAAAAATATTTTATTTATAAGATAAAATTATACTTTTGGTGTTAAAGGTGAAGAATAGCACATATTAGTGGATTTTAGTTTGATTGTTTTGTTTGTTTTTTTATTTTTATTTTTGGGGCTTTGCCATCCCTGTCTTAACAAAAGAAAAAGAAAAAAAAAAGAATAGCACATATATTGTTCTGGATAATTTCGAATATATAGTTCGAGGGAAAAATTATATTTACAAATTTTTTGTTTACAAACTCATACAAATTACACTATATCTGACCGGTCATACTTTAACCAAGAGTGTATGACCGGCCATACTTAGTATAATTTGTAAAAAAAATTTGTAAACGGATCATTCCCTGTAGTCTGAATCTCCTAAAATTATATTTAAACTCACTTGATTATTATTACAACTACGTATCAATCCTTTAAAATGATTTCTCTATTTTAATCATTGAAACGCTGTGCGTGTGTTAACATATAGCATGAGGGAAAAAAATTCTTGATGTCAAAATTTTCAACTCAATTAGTAACTAACTTTGATGCTTTCATTTCTGCAGGTTGGATTTTTCTAAAATTTTAGCAGCATATCATTGCATTACTCTACATTCAAATGTAGTCAAAGACTCAAAGGCCTCTCTTATATATGAAAATGAATCCCAAACACTTGAGTCGAAAACTTTGATAGGGTCATATTTGGGTCACGATCAAGCATCTTCACAACTACTAATTACGTTAACAGATATTTTTCCCAAATTAAAACTTCTAAATTTGATCAGATACAAATATCGACAGATTTTAGCTTATTAATTGCATCTCGCTATTATCTACTTCAACATTGTATGATGATTTGACGACCATAAATATCATAAAATGATAGTGTTATTTGACCAAAACAAAAAATAAAGCTATTAAATTTCAAGTGTATACAGGAAAGTTTAAAAATAAATCTGAAGATAAAAGTAATTTTAATTTTGTATAATAAAAAAAAGGGAGAGATGATTATTACAATTTAGATATTAACCATCAGAGGGAGAAAGGCAGCAATGATCATTAAGTCAAAAGCACAAAATGGAAGTAACCAAACCTAAAAGTGAAAGTAATTAAACCTCCGTTATCTTAATTATATATTAGTCAAAGACTTCTCATAAGTCATAGCTCTCACTTTTCTAAGCTCACAATGTTCAGTTCTCACGGAAAAGTAAAATATTCGCCGGTCCTAATCAACCTTCACTTCAAGCATGAGCGAAGACATGCGAAGCAAGTGATCACAGAGAAGTAAAAAACATAGATTACATGCAAATCCTAAGCTAACAGAGTGATCAGTAGCGTACGAATCACATTCATATACCTCTCTAAATACATGATTTTTCTTGATTTAAAAGAAAGAAATGCTCAAATAAAACTGAAAAGTATTACTTTCTATGCATCATTCACACTTCTATATTTTTAAACAATTGATTTATATAAAAAATATTGTAAATAAAATATTTTAATTATTAATTAATAACTTGATACATTTGATAAATATATACAATATTATATTAAATAAAACAAAATTCAATTTATAAAAACATTGTATACCATATAAAGTGTGGATAACATGAGGAAAGTATACTTTACAAATAACTTCCAACGGTAATTTTTTAAAAATTCTTTTTATAATAAAAGCTTTTGCAAAATTATATTTAGTTAAATTTCTGTATGAGAAAAAAAAAGTTAAAAATAAAAGCTCAGAAAAAAGACATTAACTACACTCTAGTTCACTTTATCTGTCTTACATCTTGGTATGCTCTCTTTTTAAGACAGGATTATGGCTCTAAAGAAGAAAAGTATCCAAATATCCATACGTAATTTGTACTACTTATTTATTACTCAAAGTAAAATGTACTTCCATCATATATATAAATATCGTACAAAGTATATGGTCAAAGAATCCTTTTAAAGAAAATATATACTACTAAAACTGTCCGATGCTATTATACTGGATGATCTTTGTGTTAATTAAGCTTGACTAATGTTTTGTAGGTGACCCAATTAAGCAGCTGAATATTGTTTAGGTTTTGGATTCAAATGTCGTCAGAAGAATATGAGGTGATTTAATTTACATAAACACCATAGGTTATACTTATTGTGTAGTCTTTAGACCCCGGAAAATTAAAACTTCAATTAGTGCTATCATCTACCAAGTAATTTATATCTAGCTACATAGGAAACATAAGATGTACAAATTAAAGTCTCAAGTTACAATAGCACATGCATGCCACTCAGCTTAGTGGGAGACTAAACTCAGTTTTGTCCTTTAGTTGGATAGCAAGCTCTTGCTACTCAAAATAGTATATTCTACATGACATTTTTTACTTTCATCAACTATAACAAAGTTTTTCAAAACCATTAGTAACATTTATGTAAACTTGTTGGTTAAAAATACAAAATTCTATAATGATATGACTGGAAAAAGTCAATAGTCTCGAATCGGCCTTAATAACAACTAAATTGTTCTTTAAAAAAAGAAATAAATTTGCAACAACTGTGCACATTGCTGAGACGAAGTTGGCATGTCTTTAGTTAGAGTTGTGAAGTTTGTTCATATATAATATTCAGACCATAAAAAATTAAAAAAAATGGTAGAGACTTAAGAAAAAATATATTGAGAAAGCTCTCAAAAGGGACGGTGGAAGCTTTTGACTATTCCCTCTCAAACGTGTTCAAAATTAGATAAAAAAAATAAAAGACCAAAAAAATATCTTCAATTAACTTATAATATCTTCATATGTCATATATCTTGTGTCTACACCCTACCGTACATGAGAAATGACGGCAAGGAACTCCAGTTAAATAAATGTTTTGATTTAGTGCAAATATATGTATTATACAGGAAATTATTTTTTTGACTTCAATATAAGAATAAGAAGTTTTATTTTTCAACTCGATTGTTGATCTCCGTATATCTTATGGGTTACGGCTATACTATATTAGGGATTAGTAATAAAAAATAAGATTTTTTATTCTTACATCGGAGTCAAATTAAAAATTATATATATGATATCAATCTCGGGTTTGCTTGTGATAATTATCATAAAAATTATTTCTAAGATTCAAAGTTGCTCTTTTGACAATTTGTCCATCCTGAATTTTGTTGTCACCTAAACCAACCTTGAAATTAACATATATGTTTTAGATGGATTGACTTATCCAAGAAATTCAGGGACAGTGATCAAAGTGTCATGCTTGGACAAAAAAATTACCAGACTGCCACGCTAACAGTAAATTTTGTCAAAATGTCACGCGGCATAATTCGCTACACAGTGTAGCGAAATATGCCACGTCAGAATGCACAGAACCAAAAATGCCACTCTATGTAGCGAATTTCTCAAGATTTGACATGTGGCATTTTTTGTTCTGATGTGACATATTTCGCTACACTGTGTAGCGAATTACTTGCATGCATAATTCGCTACACTGTGTAGCGAATTATGCCGCGTGATATTTTGACAAAATTTATTGTTAACGTGGCAGTCTGATAATTTTTTTATCCAAACGTGACAAAATGGTCACTGTTCTAGAAATTCAAGTATTTCTTGAAATTAAATTGTAAGATACATCCCTGGCATCCTTAAAGGAGATTGTATGGCGTCCTTAAAGGAGATTGTAAAACCATTAAGGTAAGTCAATTTAATAAAGGCTTTTATAAGAGTTACGATATAAGAAAAATGATTGTGTTATGTTATAGAGATTCATTTTATATATTATAATATATTTTTTTTCAAAACATGTGGGTCTCATAATATATTGTGTGTTTTGTGATTATGTTAAATGACGAATGTAAACAACTTTAATGAATTGAAGTGATTATAAACTAAGATAAAAGTCAGGACAACAGAAGATGAAAACACATGTTGGTGATGTTTGTGTTGACGTTGGATGCTGCTGACTATTTAGAAGTCAGATTCTCTCTCTAGATCTATATTTATATATTAGTTGTTAATTACTACAAGACTGTCTCAAAAAACGAACACCTGCCCTTCTAACTAATGATTTTCTCCATATATTTCTCCTTATAGTCCAATGGGAAATTGCCATGTGGCTAACATTACGCACCATCTTACCTCATTTCTCAAATCTTTATCAATATTCAAGTTCCTTCTTTTCTCACATTATATTTGGTCTTAGTCCAAACCCTTTTTGTTGCCGAGTCCATTGCATCTCTTCCTATCTCTGACTTCAACGTATCATCAGAATCAGACCCTTCTCTCTCTTCGTTCCTTTTTCCTTAATTAAGAAAACTTTTGTTCAGAACTAGAGGACTCTTCTTTGATATTGATCCAACCACTTTCTTTGTCCCCAAGCACCTTTCTTGTGATTCCTTAGCCAAAGACAACACAAAACTCTTCTTATAAAGTGCACATATATACAAGCTTAATAATATAAATTAAATATTATGGAAGCCACCTGCAATGATGCCATGGGTAACTCTACAGTTGCACATTCTTCTCCGGTCATGTCGTTTAACGGGAAACGACTTGTCGTGGATGAAATGGATTTCTTTGCAGAGAAGAAAAGTAGTGCAGTAGTTGATCATGATCAAGTGATGCATGAAATGGAGCTTCATCATGTTGATGTAAGCAAACCCATGAATATTTCTTTAGTTTTTTTCTTTCTGATTTTTACCGTTTTAAAATAAATCTTATTTTTCTTCTTCTTGTTATTATTATGTAGACTAATTTAGATCTCCAATCAAAGAATTCAACTGTGGAAGATGGGGCATTGGAGATCAGGGGAGATAAGAGAAATAAGGTACCTTTTCTTTCTATCCTTCTGACGGATATAATATAAAATTATTGAAGACTCGTTACTTAGTAGCTTAAATTTTTAGATTAAGATGATTGTTTATTTTATACTTTTAATTTTATCAAATAGATAATTTTTAAGATGGATAGATTTATATTAAAATATATATTTTTTTCCCTTTTCTGGGTATAGTATGTAGCTTTGCTAGCTGAATTGCACCACATGAATGCTGAAAATCAACGCTTGAGAGAGCTGGTTGATCAGGTGAACAATGAATACAATGCCCTACACAAGCATCTTATGAAGCAGATGCAGAAACAGCATAAAAATGAGGTAATATATATATATATATATTTTTTTTTGTACTTATTGGAAATCAAAGAAATCTAATCAATATATTATAATTTCCATTTAATGACTAAAGTAATCCAAAGGCTGAAAAAATAAGTAGTGGTTTTATTTTCATTTTTCTTGGTTTTATGTAGATTCATGGAGCAATAGATAAGGAGGTAAAGAAAGATGATATGATTCCAAGGCCATTTTTGGACATTGGTTTGGCTAAAAAGGATGAGCCTTCACTGCAAGAAAGAAAAAACATGATTGACTTGATGGAGTGCAAGGCTCAGAAGATTTGCACTAGTAGAGATAATATTATTCAGTTTGACACAGACAAGCATGATTCTGAAGGCAGGGATAGTACAAAACCTAGAAGGGATCATGAGAGTCAAGCTGAACAAGCATTTCCAGGGTGGCTCTCTGATGAAGGCAAGAGATTGAGTTCTTTTAGGGATGTTGATCAAGCATCAGAAACCATGTCAATGATCAAGAAAGCTCGTGTATCCGTTCGAGCAAAATCAGAATCTTCTATGGTCAGTATAAAATAAATCATATATACAAGTTTTAAAGTTTGCAAATAGAAACCACCAAAACATGTGGATCAACTTGCACGTGGTTATTTCAGCTTAATTAATAGTTTCGAGTTTGAGTCCTGAACACGTAGCTATATTAAAAACTTGATATAAAGAGATGAACTGGTGGAGAAATATATTAAATTTTTTTTTTGCAATTAGAAGTCTAATTAATGATTTTCATTAGGATGATGCTCTTATGTCTACTAACAAATTCAACTTAGCTGGCTAGTTGGTGAATTTTAATAGAAAGGGAAAATTTATATGTGATATTGCATACATATCTTTAATGAAAGTGCAACAACAATTTATATGTGCTATAAGTGCTGCTACATTATAATTTTCGTTTTGATCAATTCATCACTGAATCACAGATTTCAGATGGATGTCAATGGCGAAAGTATGGGCAGAAGATGGCTAAAGGGAATCCATGTCCGCGAGCTTATTATCGTTGCACAATGGGAACTGGTTGTCCAGTTCGGAAGCAAGTATACATTTTCTCTTCTTATGAAAATTTACTATCTTTTGGGTTAAGATTAGTTCTAAAATGCACGTAATTAACCCACTCCAATTAATTACAGGTTATCTTCACAAAATCCCTTGAGGTTCAAAATTCTTTAATTTGATTTCTTGAAGTTATCAATCTACATATAAAGAGTTACATTTGAAACCCTAACTTGCCACCAATGGGGTGCGGATAAATCCTTGTTAACGGTCCTCCTCCTTAAAAAAGTAACCGATTCCTGGATTTCAACCCGTACCTTATTTGTAAGTATAAAAAAACTTGTAGGAAGTCAATATTCGGTTTGATACATTTAAAGAATGGAGTTGTTTATATTATATACTAAACGGAATACCACGAGAGCTAAGTGAGTAGGGGTGAGAACATATATTCGATCCTCCTAGTACCATTGTTTAGAGGAGTTTAAAATCTTAATCTTGAACCCCAAACAGGGTTATCTCCGGTGAGAATTTATGTGGTTTATATATAAAAAAAAAAAAAGGAGAGGGGAATACTATGGAAGGGATTTCGTAAAACAAAACCTGCATTCTTGCACCAATTAATTACTCCCTCGCCTTTTCTTATTACACGTAATCTACTCCCTCACACAGCTTCCGAACCAATAGTATTAGATAGTACCGGTGGCATAAGCCTAATAATAGAAATGAACAAATTCAAGAATAAACTTAATCCAGTTATATAAAAATGGTTCAAGTATAAATGTTACAAGGGTGGCAAATAGCCAACCTTACCTTGAATTAGAAAGAGGTTGATTACGGTAATGAACCTATGTCCTCCATGTCACACGATGGCAACAGTACCAACTTTTGTGTCAAGATTCATATAATTCTTTTAAAAAAAAAAAAAATTTAATTTGTGCCACTTGACTTTAACGCCATTAATTGAAAAAATAAAATAAGAGTTTTATCCCTAACATGAAGTTGCACCAACTAGTGAACTTATATTTCTTTACAGGTACAAAGGTGTGCTGAAGATCGAAGTGTGTTAATCACAACATATGAAGGGCAGCATAATCATCCACTACCTCCCACTGCTAAGGCAATGGCATCCACAACATCTGCAGCTGCATCAATGCTTCTTTCAGGATCAATGCCAAGTGCAGATGGCTTAATGAATCCAAACATATTAGAAAGTGCAGCACTCCCTTGCTCACAGAACATGGCAACACTCTCAGCTTCAGCTCCATTTCCAACAATCACATTGGATCTTACTCAAAGTGCTACTAGTTCCTCACAACCACAAGGCCAACTTAGCCTCCTTCCCCCACTTTTGGCTCAAAATATGTCAGTTCCAAACATTTTTGGACATGCCCTTTTTGACCAAACTAAGCTTTCTAGCTTACATGGATCTCAGGGAATGGAAACAACTCAATTTGCAGATTCAGTAAATGCGGCAACAGCTGCTATCACTGCAGACCCAAAATTCACTGCAGCTCTTGTGGCTGCCATTACTTCTATCATTGGAACTTCACATCCTAACAATAATGGTACAAGTGAAGACCAGCAAAGCAATAAAACATAAGGCTAATTTTAATTGTTATTTAGTGTCACTTGCTTTAGAAGAGTGGACTTTGAAAGAGTGGAAAAGTTATTTTTTTATAATTGGAAGATCACGGATTTGAATCCGATAAACAGACTCTTCACAATTATACATGAGTAAAGCTGCGTACAAAGATTTTCTTCATTCCTACTCTCCTTTGTTGGGGTTTAATGCACAGTGTTTTTTTTTTTTAAGTGTCACTTGCTTTGAGAATGGATGTTTGATCATTTTTCCTTTCCGGTGGGTAGATATTGAATTGTTTTAGTAATTGTTATGAATTTGAAGGATCTTATATTTATGAAGCACTATCTTTACTATTTGAACTAAGCATCAGGTTTGGAATCAAACATGCAAAATCTGGCAATTGTACGAAAGAGTTTCCAAAACAATCTATAAAATAAGCATTCAAGGGATAAGATATTATGTCTATATTTTTCATGCCTACTCTACTTTTCCAACACTGTTAGATCAAAATATCATCTGACACCCTTTCTCTCTTATCTTGATATTCTGATTCAACGATGTTGGAAAAGAGTATGTAGAGTAATCATTAAAAAAAATATAGGCATAATATTTTGTGGAATGTTATATTTACAACTTATTTTTATTTATAACCTCTTACAGCCATATCTTAACTATTAATTTCCGCCAATCAACGGTTATTACTTATTATTTTCTCAAATCAAACTCATTAATTAATTATTAATAAGTAATGAATGATAACCGTTGATTAACGGAAATCAACGGTTAAGATATGATTGTAAGAGGTTGTAAACAAAAATAGGTTGTACTTCCTTTAATATCTTATCATATGATTCAATGCACTTTTTTCTTCTTTCAACTTATATATAATGGGTTAAAAAACAAATTTTTCAATACACACACATATAATTAATATGGCATTTGAGAGTTGAGACTCTTCTTTTTTGAAGTTCTTTCTGCAATTTAAGACTATTTATGTAATCCATTATTATAGACTCGCTCAAACATTTAGTTAACCACAATTGTTAAGACTAATTCTAATTTATAGGCTCTAGTTTTCTATTAGTTTTTCCATTAACAATATTTTTCGTATTTGCATCCATAGCCATTATCTTGGATGTATAAGCTTCTGTCCTGGTCCTGCTATAAAATTTATTAATTTATTTGTGTACGAAAACTTGTTACTATAAACTCTTTCAATGATATCGATGCCATTGATGTGTTTTCGTCATATTGAGATGTATCTTGGGTCTTTCATGAGTTGCATACACATAATACTGCTATTAATTTATACCATACCCCTCTTGGCCATTATTTCTGCTTATTTGAGTATTATTGCTGAAATTCTACTCATATATTTAATGTTGGTCAAAATTTATAGAAGTCTTTAGTTGTATTGTACGTAAGTATAATGCCTCACTTGTTTCAGCCTTAGAAAATAATAATAAGACCATTAGTTTTAAGTCTGAGTTTCCAGTAAGAAGCTGGTAAGGATTGAAAGGCTAAAAAAAAGTTACAAATGTCTTCCTTATCTGCTGGATGAAAGATCTGGACATATTTGAATGTCTCAGCAAATTTGGTTATCAAAGTACGGAGTTCTTATTTTCATTACTAAACTGTTTCTAGATAGTGGGTGTCGTACAATATTATGAACCGTAGATGAGTTAGAGGCATGTTTGACAAAATATGCTAACATCAAATTAGCAACACAACTTGTAATGAAAAAGATTAATGTTTCTCATATTGCAGGAGATATTGTAATCGCTTATGTTATGGACTCATATATGAGGTCTATCTATTAATAAGCCCAACAAGGGGCATTTCAAATGTAAATCAGATATAGTTAAGAAAAGATATCTATCAAGGATATCAATCCTAATACGACAGCATAATATATGGGCTTGGACCGTTATCTGAAGTACTGAAGGTCCAGAATCCAATACCTACAAGTAAACTCTATAAATAAGAGGTGAAGCCTACAGGTACGTTACACTCTCTCTTACTGTTATGCTGTCACTGTGCACAAACGCATCCCTTTGGCAAAGTCATTTATCGTTCTTCTGTGCGCAGTGATCTGCTTGCCTCAAGGGTGTCTAACTCATAGATACCTTTGAGAGGGCATCTAGATCGATCCAAAAGCAACAAACTAGTCCATTGGGCTAAACATCTCTGTCACTAAGACAGAACATTGGCGTCATCTGTGGAGAACGGTAAATTCGTTATTCCTACGATCACGAGTAATAATGGCGGTTCGTGCAAGGAGTAGCGGTCAACAGCCACTACATCCCAATCTTCCACTGGATCTTGTGGTGGAAGAAGTAGATCAACCTCAGAATCAACATCAACCAGAGAATGAGGTTGATTATTATGTTGTTCATGTAAGATGTAAGAACCTGCACCATTAAATTAGGAATTTAAATGATTAATTATGAATTTAGAAAATAATTGCATAATTGACATAGAATAATTATGAGAAGACTAAAATAATAATTATAAGGGCTTAATAATGTTGAAAGTCGCTTTTCTGACGAAAAATGCAGATACCGGTTCTGCTCCACGACATAAGAGTGTACCGATGAAGTATCCCAAAAAATTATAATAAATATGCGAATATTCCTAGAATAATATATAGGACTAGTATAACAAGTTTGGAGTCAAAATAATGAGAACTGGCGTCAGGACGACTGATACCGGCTACGTAAAAGCGCGTACCGGCAAAATGCTGCAAAAATTATAATAAAAATATGATAAATCCTAGAAAAATGGCTAGGTTCAGAATCCAAAGTTTGGGATTAAAATGACAAGCAGAGATATTAGTACTAATACAGTGTGTTTAAACTTAAACGGTCTATAAATAGCGATTGGCACATAACCCTAGGCTAATCTCCAGCCTTTCTACGTGGGTTTTCTGAGTCTTTGGGTTGCTGCCACCTTCCCCCACCTTTCCACCTTCATCTTCTCCATAGAAACCTCCAAAGTGACCACCTTTGTCCATTGTTTCTTCATCAAAACAGCATGGGTGTGTGTGGTTGAGACTTGAATAGGAGAAAAGCCTTTGTTTTCTGAGTTATGGCCTCTGTTTAGTGGTGGTTTAGGGGCTGACTTCTTGAGTGTTGTGGTGTGAGCCTTTTCTTGGTATTTGAAGCTTCAAGGTGCCATTGTGATAGAGAAAAGGCTTAGCTTGTGTGTCAAATTCGTGGCCTTTGTGTAGTCTGACCTTGGGAGCTGCAAAGTGAGATCCAAGAGCACCCTTGCCTCTGTTTCAAGCCTTGGTGGTAAGCACCATCACCTTTGCCTTTGATTTCTATAGAATTAATGAACCTTGATGCATGTAATAAGCAAAAGATGAGAACTTAAGGGTGGGTAAGGTTAAACACACCTAGAAATGCATGTTTGAGCCCCATTTTTATCAAATTAAAACATCAACCCCATAGAAAACTCATGATGGCTGAATCATATAGGTGGATGGGAAAGCATTTTGGTCAATATTTCTCCAAGTAATCATGCTTACTTCTTCATGTTAGCTCCAAGGCTTCAAGCGTCCACTTTTCTCAAGCAAGGATGCATCTTTTTCACAAAGAACACACCTTTAAAAAAGACTCAAAGTTAGAACTCAAGAACACAACTCAAAGGTGAAATTTTTCAAGAAAAAGATTCAAGATACTTACACTAAAACTCAAGTAAACAAGAACCAAAGGAGTGTTCTTCAAAGAGAACTCAAAACATCATCTCCAAAGCTTGAACTTGTCAAAACCATGGCTGTATGGTGGTGTGAGGAACTCAAAAATTTGATCCACACCATGAAAATTGTATGGTTGTGAAGAGGAGAGTGAGGGGAACAAGTTTCGTGAAGAAGATTTGGTGATTTGGTGAGGTTTTGGAGATGAAATCTTAGAGAGAAGTGAGAGCAAAGTTTGAAGTTTGAATTTTAGAGAGAGAAGTGAGAAGGGGGCTGATTCAGAATGAGGGAGAAGTAGAAGGGTGCCCTAATTAGGGGTGCATGTCACTTTAGTGGCATTTGTCCTTTAGTGAGACTCGGTGTAATTTTTTTCTGAACTATCATCAAATTTTTATCCGGAAACTCTCAAGACTCTAACTTTAAGTACTTAACATTAATTTTGTCTAATTATCATGTTCATAACTTAAAAATTTGATTAGTAGATCACATATCCACTTACCGCAGTTTTATTGCACTGTATGCTTTACTGATGTTCCTAATTGTACCCGGATTTCATAATTTTCATAACTTTAACATTTTTGGTCTAATTATGAATTGTTAGGCATATATTGGTCTTTCTTTCCATTTTCTTATCTTTTTCCCGTTACGGGATTCTACCGGTTGCTGCTACAACGGTACAAAATATTCGGTAAAAGTGACTTTTCAGAAATACCCCAATATGGGTATCAATCTTCACCATTTCATATACTATGCTCATTCATGATGTTTATGATTAGCTCTCTAACTGTAATTTACTAACTTGGAGCTATTCTACTGACTGTTACTGCGTCAGCAGTCAAAAACAACAGCTGAAAACTCAACTGTTCAGAATACCCCCAATATGGGTATCAAACTTCATCAAATCTTATGCTTACATCATTTATGATATTCATATCATTAGGATAGCCCTCTAAATTAAATTCATTGTACTGGAGCTATTTTACAGTCTATTACTGCGTCAGCAATCAAAAAACAGCAGATGAAAATTCACCTGACTGGAATACCCTCAATATGGGTATCCAAATTCTTACAATTTCATTCTCATTCTATTTATGACCATAATGTCCTCATCATAACCCTCTAATTTAAAAATCATGTAATTAGGTTTATTATATTTAGAACACCTTTTAAAACAAATTTGTCCTCAAAATCAGATCATATCTGATATCAAAATCGGGATATCGCCGGAGAATATCATCCTCCCGCTTCCAAGTGCCGTACTCAGGTTTCAATCCTTCCAATTGAATCTTGATCATGAGAATGACTCTATTTCGAAGTCGTTTCTCATCTCGAGCAAGAACCTTAGAAGGTGCCACAACGAACTTTAAATCCTTCTTAACCTCTATGTCATCAGGTTGTACAATGTGTGAATCATCAGATATATATCTGCGGAGCTGACTCACATGGAAGACATCATGTAGATTCGCCAAGTTGGGAGGTAGAGCAAGTTGATACGCCACCGGTCCGACCCTCTTTATTATCTGATAGGGCCCAATGAACCGTGGACTAACTTTCCCACTCTCAAAGCACGCCTAACACCTGTAGTGGGTGATATTCGGATGAATTACATGATCCCCTTCAGAGAACTCAAGGGGTCTGTGCTTGGCATCATAGTAACTCTTCTGACGGCTTTGGGCTTTCTTCAGTCGATCTCTAATCATCTCCATCTGCTCTGTAATCTCTTGGACCAAGTCTGGCCCCAATAACTGTCTTTCTCCAATCTCCGTCCAACAAGTAGGTGTTGTACACCTACGACCATACAAGGCCTCATAAGGAGCCATGTCCAATGATGTGCCTCTGGCATATGTGGTTTTCCAAGCTAAAAATAATAAGGATTAAGTCATAAAAGAGCAGTTTTTGTACATATTTGCTTTATATATTGACTTTTCCATTTCAATTTTATTTCTCACTTATTTGTTATTTTTATATAGGAAAATACGAAAATTCAAGAAAAGAAGATTGTCGCGCGAGTCCGTGCGGGTGGTGGCGCGACCCGCGCTAATTGTTCCGCAGCCATTTTCCAGAAAGCTGGCGCGATCTCGCTCCGTGATGGCGCTATTCCGCACCAGTTTGCGAAAAGACATGACCGTGTGTTTTTGAAGGGTAATTTTGGAACTACGCGCGGAAAAGAATAGAAAAAGGATTCTGAATAGACAGAAACAACATTCCATCATCAGAGACCATCATTCTTCAGAGAGAGAGTTCTTGAGAGAAAATCTTGTTCATCTTTTGTTCTTCCATTTTCTATTTCCAGTTTATGTTGGATCTTTATATATTAGCCATGACCATGGTTGGCTAGTACTCTTTATTGTAGTTAGGGTCACAAACCCTATGTGAACCGTTGCTACGACGGATTGTTTTATATTTACTCTTTTATATATTTATATTTATCTCTACTCTGTGCGTAATTTCTATCCTCTTTATTAGAACTGATCAATCTGATAGTAGATGATAGTTCGAGGGTTGACGCTCTAGATAGGAATATTGGGATTTTGATCTTGAAAGGGAGTAGGATAACAATTTGTATGTGTGCTAGGAATAGACGTATATATTATTGCAAATGTTTAATTTATCGTGCTTATTGCTTAATTCCATGAGGAACATTGCAAGGAATTGAGGTTCCAATTGGGGTTAAAGGGTTGATCTTGCAAAGAATTGAGGGTTAGCTATTTAATATTTTTATATGATAAATTATCTGAATATTTATTTAGATGAGTATTTTATATCAATCCAGAGTAAAGGCGGGGATCATTTGGTGAGTGCACTCTAGCTACAATGCTTTCTTATATTTTATAAAATCCATCTTTGTTATATTTTCATAATAGAAATCCAAAAATACGTCTTTACCTTTAGTTTTTATTTTTACTCAAATCCACGATATTTCTCACAACTATTTGAATTTCTCCCATCTTAAAAGGAACAATTATTTGATATTCGATCACAATCCCTGTGGAAACGATACTCTTCTTATTACTGTATTACTTGTTCGATTGGTATACTTGCCAACACGTATCACCCAAACTAGCATGATAACTGTTGTTGTAGGAGAACTCAACCAGTGGCAGGTACTTGTCCCAAGCATTATCCTGCTCAAGCACACATACTCTCAGCATGTCCTCAAGTGTCTGAATGGTCCTCTCTGTCTGACCATTTGTCTACGGGTGATATGCAGTACTCAATCTCAATTGAGTACCAAAGGTCTCATGCAATGCTTCCCAGAAGCGTGAAGTAAACTTCGGATCCCTATCATAAATTATACTTTCGGGAATGCCATGAAATTTCACAATCTCTTTGACATACAATCTGGCTAGCTCTCAGTGGAGAAATTCGTCTTGACTGGAATGAAGTGGGCGAATTTAGTCAATCTATCAACCACAACCCATATAGAATCAAATCCAGCCTGGCTTCTCGGTAATCCGAGAACAAAGTCCATGGATATACTCTTCCACTTCCACTCCGGAATCTATAATGGCTGTAACAAGCCCAAAGGCTTCTGATGCTCAATTTTTACCTTATGACAAATAAGGCACTTATTCACGAACAGGGCTATATTTTCCTTCATCCCAGACCACCAAAAATTCTGCTTCAAATCTTGGTACATCTTGGTTTCCCCTGGGTGGATGGTGTATTTACCCATATGGCCCTTGTTAACACTTCTTCCACAATTGGCCCCTTCGGAACAATTAACCGATCATTGTAGTATTTCACATTAGAAGCATCAGTAAAAATAAAATCTTGTCCTTTAATCATTTGAATCCCTTCATCAAGCACTTGGGCCGCTTTAACTCTCTCCATTAATGAATTTCGGACTTCAACCATAGTCAAGAAATATGAAGTCTCAAATGGTGTCACATAAATTCTCAAATCTCTGAACTCCTCAATCAAATCATACTCTGCAATCATCATGCTAGCCACACCCATGGTCTTTCTGCTCAAGGCATCGGCCACTACATTCGCCTTCCTAGGGTGATACTGAAGATCAAAATCATAATCCTTCAGAAATTCCATCCATCTTCTTTGTCTCATATTAAGCTCTTTTTGATCGAACAGGTACTTCAAGCTTTTGTGGTCACTAAAAACTGCGAAAGTAGCACCATACAAGAAGTGCCTCCATATTTTCAATGCAAAAAACCACAGCCGCTAACTCAAGATCATGAGTATGGTAGTTCTCTTCATGTGGTCTCAACCGTCTAGAAGCATAGGCCACTACCTTTCCCTCCTGCATCAACACGCACCATAATCCATACTTGGATGCATCAGAATAGATCTCAAATCTCTTTTCCGGATCAGGAAGAATCAAAACCAGTGCGATAGTCAACTTATCTTTCAATTCTTGAAAGCTCACATCACACCCAAGGGTCCATGCAAATGGCACCCCTTTTTGGGTCAATCTAGTCAATGGCAAGGCGATTCTGGAAAATTCATTAATAAATCGCTAGTAATATCCTGCTAAACCCAGAAAACTCTGGACTTCAGTAACATTGTTGGGTCTCTCCTAATCCAACACCGCTTCTATTTTACTTGGATCAACAGCTACTCTTGTAGATGAAATGACGTGACCAAGAAACTGAATCTCATGCAACCAGAACTCACACTTGGATGGTTTGGCATATAACTGATGCTCCCTCAAAATTTGCAAGACTATCTTCACATGCTCTGCGTGCTCTTCTTTACTCTTGGAATAGATCAGAATATCATCAATAAATACCACTACAAACTGATTTAGATGTTGTTTGAAGATTCGGTTCATATAACTCATGAACACGGCCGGGGCATTAGTGAGCCCAAATGGGATCACTAAATACTCTTAGTGCCCATTTCTGGATCGAAAAATCCGTCTTCGGAATATCTTCTACTTTTACCCGGATTTGATGATATCAGAAACGAAGATCAATCTTCAAAAATACCAAAGCACCTCTAAGTTGGTCTAGCAAATCGTCAATGAGAGGTAGAGGGTACTTGTTCTTCACAGTCAGTCAGTCACCATGTTCAATTGCCGGTAATCCGTGCACAATCTCATAGTTTCATCCTTCTTCTTTACAAAGATAACTGGTGCACCCCAAGGAGATACACTTGGTCTAATGAACTTCTTACGAGAAAATTCTTCAATCTGCTTCTTCAACTCTACAAGTTCCACTGGTGACATCCAATATGAAGCCAAAGAGATAGGCCTCACATCAGGCACTGGGTCAATGGAGAATTCAATCTCCTTTTCTGGTCGAAACTGTGGGATCTCTTCTGGAAATACATCCTCAAAGTCACATACAATCGGGATACTAGCAGTTGGCTCCTTAGAGACACCAACCAATCCTCCTAACATGATATATCCTGCATCTCTCACATTTAGAGCCTTAATCATCTGTAACACTGATAAATATGGGGAGTCCTTCTTCTCATTCTTAGCAGAGAAATAAATCTTCCTGCTACAACAATCAATCATAACTCCATGTATGACTACCCAATCCATGCCTAGAATGATGTGCAGATTTATACCCTCAAGCACAATCAGATCAACTACATACTCTTCCTCTTCATAACTGAACTTGACTTCCTTACACATCAAAGAAGTGGAAACCAAGTTTCTGGTGGCAGTCTTCACTACCATAGGAGGCGTAAATGCATACATAGGTCAATTCAAACCATTCGCAACAGAACCCAAAATAAAGGAGTGGGTGGCTCCTAAGTCAAATAATCCATCAAAATCATGGCCATCCATGGAAATGGTACCTCAGATCAGATTTGGAGACTTCTCTGCTTCCTGCTGGGTAACAGCATAGACTCGTGCAACTGGAGGTACTAGATGCTCCTAAACAATAGTGGAAGTCGGAATGGCATGCATCAGAACAACCTGAATAGCCGCAACTTGTCCCTTTTTTCTCGGACACTCTTTAGCAAAATGTCCTGCTTGACCACAATTGTAGCATACATTCTGCCCAATCCGACAGATACCATAATGAGGCCTCCCACACTTAGCACAAGTAGGAGTCTTCCCATCCCCAGCTCTTCCATTTTCCTTCTTAAAGTTCCCATTACTCTTCCTATGGAGACTCTTGCTTGTAGTATCCTTACCTCGTGTCCTATAATACTCATATATGTCTTATTGTGGTGATGGTGGTGGTGGAGGTAGTGGAGGTGGTGGAGGTCCTGCTCTAACCTCAGCCAATAATAGTCTCATCATCTCCACATTCGCCAATCTGTTCTAAGCCATAACGTCCTCACTGGTCTTCCTCATGTGCTCCATGTCTCTCTCTCTGGCCTCATCCAACCTCTGCAGATCAGCTTCCCTAGCAGTATTCAAGGTCTGCTGAAGAGCTGCTAAAGCAGCTGCCACGGGATCCAGTGTTGGATCCTCAACTACCCAACAGGTCCTCCTTTGAGGAACCATGATAATTGCACACAACTACACCTGGAATGAGTTAGCTACGCTTATACAAGTGAAGACATATGCATTATCAAAGCACTCAAAGAAACACTCTATAGGTAGTTAACACTTAAGCAATAAATCAGTGAACGTCCCAGTGAAACTGCTCTGATACCATAAATGTAACACCCCGTAGTACTCCGGTTGTTAACATCATGATATTATAGCGTACACAGCGGAAGATTTTATTTAACGATTAATAAAATGTCTTGTAAAAATACGAATAAACTTTTTCCAAAACATTTTATGAAGACATTTCTAAAAACGTTCACGTGAGATACTTCGAAAGCGTAAATCTAAAACATACATCTACTAATTAATCCCATTAGCCAGTATTAGTGGCCATTGACTAACCGGATATGACAACAAGTGTCATTCCTGCCAGAGTCTTACGGACAACATAACAGTTGTTTAATGGATAACTGGGAGATAAGAATCTCACACACAATTACACCTGATAGACATAGTTATATAACAGACAGCTTGCAAGTCCTACACAGACTGCAATCCCCATCTTGGGTCAATACATACATAATGGCTCTGTGCCCAAATGAATAAATCCATACATCATGTCTATATATACTCATCACATGCATCTAACATAACTTATAATACATATATCAATAATCCAAAAGCTCAAACAGTAATTAATTCTGAGCATTATTACATACAATAATATAGTCTCAAAATAAACTAACTAGGCATGTCAAAATACTACACATGCCACATAACAATGTAACAACATAAAATAAACAACAACCATAATCCACTAATTCGTAGTTGAGCCGTTGCCATTAGACTGCACATTGCTACCATGGGTACCTGAAATGATGTCCCCAAAAGGGGTGAGATAACAACATCTCAGTAAGCTCAAGGTTCTTAGAGGATCCTCTAATCCCCTGAGCCCACTTCCTGCATGACAAGTCAGATATAAAGCATATAATACATGCATACAACATAAACATAGCATCATCATATCATCCTTGTGTAACCCCAGGGTCAAAATCATAGACGGTTACACATGTGTGACTCCAGGGTCAAGCCATAGAAGTCAACACAACCTCTGAATGAAATAGCTCCCATAGTCAAGTCATAGACATCCTAAATACCATAATCACTGGCCAGGATTCTCATAACATATATCATTAGTGCATTATCATAACATCAAGAATCATATAACATCTATATGAATGTGAATGAATGCACATATACGTCATACCACATACTTTCATACAATACAACTATAATGTCCACCATCATGGTGGGGCCACAAGAGAGAGGAGCAACAAGAACTAGTAGCTTACCTCACTGAGCTTATCACAAGCCCAACTCCGACAGTAAAATACGTATGCTCCAATAAACCCTCAAGTGTCAAATCCTCTAGGCAAACCTAGAGCAGGAATCATTTACATCATTAATACTAAATCACTTAATGATTTCACATTTCATTCTTATATTCCAATAATATGCCCATTACAAGTCTAGACCATTTATTACATAATTACGTATTTTTAGTGCATAAGAAATTATTCCCTAAGTCAGCAATAACTCATTAGACACTTAGTCCATTAATAAACTCTCTTAGATTAAGGCATTTTCCACTTCACTTACAACTAATCAAGACATTTATCATCAATATATGTCATTCATAACCTTGAACATTAATTATTTTAAGTTACTAAGGGTTCCCATAAACCCACTTAGCCTAAATCTCAATTTTACGATTTTCCTATAACTGTACACGCTTCTCTTTTCTAGTCACTGTGTGCAACCCACTTGTTATAAAATTCTCATCTTTTAGTATGTTAACCTAGACTCAATTAAATTTCCAAAAAGGTATCACATGCCTCATTTGAATTTTTCTAGCTCCGGTTGTCACCGTTTGAATTGGACAACCAAAACTGTCTGCCAACCCCAAATATCCCTCACCATTTCTGCGATTCTGGAAAATATACTAAACCAATTGCTCTCAGATGTTTTTACAGAAAACTAGACACCTTGAGCTTTAATTCGACATATTACGAGCCTAATTTGAGTAAGAACAGAGGGAGAAAAAATTCATGGAAGATACAACCACATACAACCCCTACACATGGGCTCCCTGGGCAGTCTCCACTTAATTGGACCTACAGTATGCTGCACATCTTCAAATGGTACCAAATTTTGATACCATATATCTGACATCTCAAGCTTCAAAATGATGTATGGCACACCCCTAGTGGACCCATATGGAGGGAGATATGCTCTCCAAAAGTTAGCCTAAAAACTTGTCATTTAACCCCAAGTGTGCTTATTTAGCAAATCCTAATTATCTTTGGTTAGAAACTCTAAGTCACTTTAATTTTAGGATTTTTCTATTATTAGGTCACTTATACATTCTCACATAGTCACATTAGGTCTTAGTTCATTAGGTTCACTAATAACATAATTAGTGCTTCTAAACCCTCATTAGGTCCATTTTAGAGTTTTTATAGTTAATTAATCCATTATGCATGGTCCACCTCACGCAAACCTTAGATTAGTATCCTAATTAGGTCTTGAATCAATTTTTAACATCCTAACCCTAATTGGTCCTTAGGTGGCTGAATTGTTTAAGTTATAAAAACTAGGTTTTTAACTTGTTAACTTTACCATTTCATTAGTTAATTAAGTCCTACACTTAATTAGTCCACTAATCCATCATTTAATTAAATTTTAAACATAAAACCCTAATCATACTATTTAGGACAGATTTGATTAAGTGATATTATTAGGGTTCAAATCCATTCCTTAGTCATAATTAGTGTTCTTAAGATTAAATATTGCATTTTTAACATTTCCCTTAGTTCCACTTATGATTATCCATACTTTAGAACATCAAGAACCCTTATCAAATTAAAACATCAACCCCATAAAAACTCATGATGGCTGAATCATATAGGTGGATGGAAAAGCATTTTGGTCAACATTTCTCCAAGTAATCATGCTTACTTCTTCAAGTTAGCTCCAAGGCTTCAAGCTTCCACTTTTCTCAAGCAAGGATGCATCTTTTCCACAAAGAACACACCTTTAAGAAAGACTCAAAGTTAGAACACAACTCAAAGGTGGAATTTTTCAAGAAAAAGATTCAAGTTACTTACACTAAAACTCAAGTAAACAATAACCAAAAGAATGTTCTTCAAAGAGAACTCAAAAACATCATCTCCAAAGCTTGAACTTGTCAAAACCATGGCTGTATGGTGGTGTGAGAAACTTGAAAATTTGATCCACACCATGAAAATGGTATGATTGTGAAGAGGAGAATGAGGGGAACAAGTTTGGTGAAGAAGATTTAGTGATATAGTGAGATTTTGGAGATGAAATCTTAGAGAGAAGTGAGAGCAAAGTTTGAAGTTTGAATTTTAGAGAGAGAAGTGAGAAGGGGGGCTGATTCAAAATGAGGGGGAAGTGGAAGGGTGTCCTAATTAGGGGTGTCATGTCACTTTAGTGGCATTTGTCTTTTAGTGAGACCCGGTATAATTTTTATCTGAACCGTCGTCAAATTTTTTTCCCGAAAACTCCAAAGACTCTAACTTTAAGTACTTAACATTAATTTTGTCTAATTATCATGTTCATAACTTAAAAATTTGATTAGTACATCACATATCCACTTATCGTAGTTTAATTGCACTGTATGCTTTACCGATGTTCCTAACTGTATCCAGATTTCATAATTTTCTTAACTTCAACATTTTTGTTCTAATTATGACTTATTAGGCATATATGGTCTTTCTTCCATTTTCTTATCTTTTTCCCGTTACGATATTCTAGCGGTTGCTGCCACAGCAATACAAAATATCTGGTAAAAGTGACTTTTCAGAAATACCCCAATATGGGTATCAATCTTCACCATTTCATATAATATGTTCATTCATGATGTTTATATCATTAGATTAGTTCTCTAACTATAATTTACTAACTTGGAGCTATTCTACTGACTGTTACTGCGTCAGCAGTCAAAAACAACACCTGAAAACTCAACTGTTCAGAATACCCCCAATAAGGGTATCAAACTTCATCAAATCTTATGCTTACATCATTTATGATATTCATATCATTAGGTTAGCTCTCTAACTTAAATTCACTGTACTGGAGCTATTCTACAGTCAATTACTGCGTCAGCAGTCAAAAAACAGCAGATGAAAATTCACCTGACTAGAATACCC